TGTAGTACATAAGTAGAGTTCTTGGAAGATTATCCCAACCCTCTACACAGCAATCAACAAATGCTCGTGAGAGGATCATCCATGCAGAACCAGTAAATATATACTCCCTCCGTCCCGAAAACAACATCCCGGTTTGACTTTCACACACTTTTAGAAAATAAATTTGACTTTACTGTAGAGTGCACTATTTTGCACTGTTTAAACACTGTTTGGCACTGTTTAAACACTGTTTGGCACTGTTTAAACATTGTTTGGCACTGTTTATCACTTTTTTGATGTAGATAATTTGCCAAATAAGGAAAGTATTGAAGTGTGAAGTTAATTTTGGGACATCCATTTAAGGAAAGTGGGAAGTTGTTTTTGGGACGGAGGGAGTACTTTAAAGGATGTAGGTAAAGCTCTCCCAGGTTTGACCCAAAATATGTCAGACTTGGTATCCTTATAGAGCCCAGGGTTCTATTTCTACTATGTAGCCAAGCTCTCATAATCATGTGGACATTCCCAGCTTGCATAAAAAAGGATTCTGTTTCTACTCTGTAGCCAAGCTCCAATCTCTCCTCACTAATGGCGGATTTTTTATTTTTTTTCAACTTGAAAGTCCTCCTACTTCAAACTTCCATTTCCAAAATCAAATATAAGCTGCCATAGACTCTTCCAAATTGCCTTCTTGACTTTGCATCTTCATGGAACTCCGGTCTCCGGCCTTCAAGGTACTTAAGGTCTGCCTCTCCTTTTAATTCAGTGGTATGTGATTAAAAAGGTAGAATTTATATTTATGCTCAGTAGATAAGTTTTGTTTAAACGGAAATACAATATGAATTACAAAATCTGCCAAACAAAGATACATGAAGGGAGGGATGCATGGTGCTGATTTGTAGTTATGTACATCATTTCCCTCTTCCAGGTACTGTAAACAATTTTCATTGAAATGTGACACACAAAAATGATATGAATGAACAAATATTTTGTCTACAATACGAATGTATTTTCTAATCCAAACAAATCCCTTAGAACAAATCAAAACACTTACGGTCTAATTCAAACAGTTCTGACCATTAAAAAGATAAACAAATGAAATACCAATAAATAAAACTCCAACTTTAAGTCTAGTAATTTTAAGTATGACAAAGATAAAAACGACATAACTTGTAAACAGTTCTTATTTAAACACTGCCATTCCAACAAAAGGTAAAATAAAAAAGTTTCAACTTTGCCAATTAAATAAAAGATAACAATGAAGCATCCTCTTTAAGGTTGTTGTCTTCTGCCATCTCTATATGGATCATTCTCTTCTTCTTTATGTGATGAGGATGTTGGGGGCTGACAAAAGAGAACATCATCAAGAGATTTCCTGCAAAAGAAATACATTATGACAAATAAATTATACCTGCTCATTTTCTTTACAAGACCTTTTATTATGGCCAAGCTGTCTACATTTACCACACTTAATCATTCCATACTTTCTCTTAGCTTTATGGGGATCCTTCCATTCTAATGATGATTTGTGCCTTTGTTTTTTTGGCCTCCCGGGTGGTCTTCTTAACAATGGTGGCTGCATCCGCTCATTATCAGTTTTAGGCCAAAAATCAGGACCCCCCATTGGAACTACTTCATACTCATAAGCCCTAAAAAAAAACTCTCGCGTGAAATATTCATGCACATAATTTTCAGCCCTTCCATTAATAGCTTTTATTGCAGCACACACATGGACACAAGGCACACCTGTCAAGTCCCATAATCTACAAGTACATGTGTTGTTCTGAAGGTGCACAACAAATCTTTTAGGCCAAAGTGTAACCTCGAATATAACTTCCCCACATGAAATTGCACGCCACCTAGTACTTTCCACGATGCATGCATTCAACTTTTTTAGTGTTTCCGGGCATATTACACACCACCATTCAGTTTCATCTTTTCCTTCTTTTTTTGCATTAATGTCATTGCTTTAATCCTTATATTGTCAATAAGAATATCTACGTGATTGTCTCGATACCTTTTTATGACTCCATTGAAGCACTCAACAATGCTACTTGAGAAAATGTGACACTTAACATGATTTTGGAAGTGTGCTCTGCTCCATCGCTCAACACCAATTTCTGTGAGATGTTCTCATGCACTATATTCTTTATCCTTCAACTTGCCCATGTGTCTGTCAAAATCACACACAGTGGTAGACTTTGCAGCTAACCAAAATAAAGATCTAACTTGTTCATCCTTCCATTTTTTCTGGAAATTGGTATACATATGACGTACGCAAAATCGGTGATATGAAGAAGGGTACAACTCTTCAAGTGCAGCCACTATTCCCTATAAATCAAACCATTTATTAAGAAATAATTCTATAAAAATGTAAGTACGTATAAAGTAATAAATGTATTAAAAATATACCTTTCCTTGGTCAGAAATAAATGTCCATCTCTCTCCACGTATGGATGTTTGTCCAATATCAGTAATTAAGTTCTCTAAAAACCATTACCACGTCTCTCTAGTTTCAGAAGAAACAATTGCATATGCTATAATGAACATACCATTGTTCCCATCAAGACCAACCGCTGCAAGAAGTTGACCACGATAATATCCACTCAAATGGCACCCGTCTATTGCAATTAGTGGCCTACATCCTGCTAGAAATCCCCTTTTACACGCATCTATACATACATACATATATATATATATATATATATATATATATATATATATATATATATATTCTATCAAATCTTGTAGGACCACGCTGACCATGTTTTCTGGCAACTAATTTTGCAGTAGATCCCAGATTAGTCTTCAGCAGCTCCTCACAGTAACCTGGTAATCTGGAATACTGTTCAGCAACATTACCATCAAGTGACTGCAGAGCATATGCTTTTACTCTATAAGCCTTTGGCATACTGATGGTGACATTGTGTTTTTTGTATATGAGATCTTTTAATTCCTCACCAGTCATTTTTGGATGTTCTCTAAAATCTTCAATGACCTTCTTACCTAACCACTTAGTATCCGCAAAGTTCGCTTTCACTCCCTCCTTTTGACAATTATGACTAGAGATAAATGTTTTCACTCTATACGTTTGCAAACTTCCAACTTTAGAACAGTATATATGCCAGGGGCAATCTCGGACACACTTTACACGACATTTTATCTTATCTTTCCTAACAAAGGACAAGTTATACATATTTTGAACCCCATAACTTTTAACCGCTTCATAAAAATCATCAATGGATGCAAATGATTGATGCAACCTAAAATTAACATCCCCATTGATTGCTTGAATATGTGCAGAATCAATTTCATCTTCGTTGCCTGAAGAATCAGAACCATGGATACTGTGTAACTGAGTTAAAGATTGTATTGTAGCTGTCTCAGAAAATTCTGGTAAGTCACTTATCTCATGCAAAGAATTCTGAGCAACTGTGTTGTCTTTGAAAAGTGAGCAATCAGTTGGTTGAATAGCATCATCACTTTGATATTCATCCAAAATCCATTCATCAAGAGAATAATTATCTGTGTCCATCTGCAAAGAAAAACATGTTCCCTACTGATGTTCTTTGTTAATGAAATACTTATGTAAATATGTAATGCACATCAATGGTCTATGTTCTTCATGATGATGGTAGAATCTGGTACTCACTAAAACACTAGAGTTTCATTTAAAAATGATTACGTCTTGATTAAAACAAGAGTTTTCTTAATGTTTTTTCTTGGTTTGGTTAATTGGTTTGATGGTGAATGGGTTAGGGTACTCTCTTGAAGTAAAAATATTCTCCAAAAAGTAGATGTATAATATCCTTACATTCAATTACTTATGCAAAATTATTTCAGCCTCTTAAGTTGAAGATAGTGATTTACTGTTTTCAATTTTGGTGTTGTTATGATTTATTTACTACTGTTTAGTTCCATATCAATGAGATCAAACTCACTATATAACATATGTTCTTACACTAATATTCCATATAACATTAAGACACAGTGGTGATTAATCTTGGACCTGGTTCAATAGCAAATGCTGAAGAAAATGTGTTGTTGGGCCCAGTGTTGTGTACCAGTATAAGATGTCATCGATTTTGGAATGCATCATCCCATGTCAGTCAAAGGGCGATCCACTGGATGCTTTGGATACTTCACCAAAGAAACTTTTTGTTTTTGTAAAAATGATTAAACATTTATCTTTTTACATGTAAGCCAGAATATTAAAGCTTTCTTCTTATCATTATAATGGGTTCGTATACAAATTCCAATCAGAGGCTTAAAAAAAAGATTAAGACACAGTGGAGAAGAGAATTAAAGTCAAAAATAATAATACATGCAATCGATTATAGTTCAAACCTTTTGGCAAGATGAAATTAGCAGAGTTCTGGAAAAATTGTCCAAAGGAAAAGGACCCAGATGAGAGTTACTGATGGATTCAGAGAAATAGCCGATGAAGTAGACTTGCGTATGAGGAGGATAACATTGAGTCTTCGGCTGCGGCTGTAACCCTCCAGTGTATTCCGTACATTTTGTAATTTAATTTACAATGTTTTTTATTACTGTGATACGATTTAATTAAATTATTTAATCTATGTGGATGCCATGTCATATTCCGTTAAAAAAAGGTTGACAGTGTTAATTATTTGAGTCCTATATTGATAGATTATCATCTTTCGGGTCCCTTAACGAGAGCAGTTATCTTTTAGGTCCAAAATTGATAGTAAACTCATCTTTTAGGTCTTAAATTGATAAATTTCCTTATATTTATCCTCCTTCCATAACAGACCCTAACCCTTTTGGAAGCAAAAAGGACTAAAAACCAAACCCACGAAACTGAACCCGAACTGCCGAACATACTAAAAAAGGACTAAAAACCAAACCCACGGCCTGTTTGGATTAGGTGTTGGCAGGTGTTAGTAATGAAAGTGTTAGGGAGTGTTTAGATTAACACTTGTTTGGGAGAAAGATTAGAAAAAAATGGAGGTGTTAATAAGTGTTTGAAGGTGTTAATCAAAACCTTCTTAACACCTATATTTATCACTATTTTTGGACAACCTTTATCCCTATTATTCCCGACGTTCTCTATATCCAATTTCTCGGCCGCAACCAACACTGTTCTTCGTCCATCCCCAGCCAAGTCCATTCTTCTTCTTCCTCAGCCAAATATCGTTCTTCTTTTTCACCTCTTGTTGCAGTACTGTTCTCCTCCAGGTTTGTCTTCTCCTTCTTCATTTTTCGATTTTAGCTATCTACGAATTTTTTTTATTCATTCAGCTCTTGCTATATATATATATATATATATATATATATATATATATATATTCAGATTCGATAAACACACACACATATACTTCGTATATTCTCTTGTTCTCCTTCTAGGTTTTTGTAATTGTGTAGTGGTATACATATAGAACTCGTTCGTTTGTATGGAGTATTTTTTCCTGGATGATGTTGCTTATATAGAAAAGATGTTCATAGTACTTTTTATTGATTCTTCTCTAATATAATTGACTTGAATGCGACGGGGTATTATATTTGCTGATTATACCAAGTATATGATGGTTGTTAGAGGATATTCTTGTCAATTTAAGTAGAAACACTCCATTTTTTTACTCTCCCAAACAAGGTAAGATTATGTGTAACACTTACCTTCCTTTCCGGGCCGTTACTAACACTTACTAACACTTTCATTACTAACACCCGCTAACCCTTGCGAAAACTATATTGCGACCTGGGCTTAGCCAAAACGTCCGATACCGAAAACTTTAGCTACAGGTTTCTCCGTTTCAGTTTTGAAAACCTTATGCTTCTTACTTTTATGATAAATTAAAGTTAAAATTTTGATACTTAGGGATTATGTTGAAAGTTTAAATTTTTATTCGAATTTGACATTACTGATGTTGAATATACGCTGTCTAGATAAGAACCTCTGTTCAGCCGAAAGTCCCAAACGGCCAAACCGCTGATCTTCATTCGCAATTAGCATCTGAGCTCCTTCTAGTCTGTGACAGAGAATAATTCCACGAACAAAAACAAACATCTAAAGAAAATTGAAGCTCTCGCAGGAATGAAGTAAATCAGTGACTTTAATTCCTAATCTCCATTTTTATCTGCGATTTTAAGGTATTACTAGTATTTTCTAACACTGATTTCTAAAATTATGTTTAATTAATTTCTTGATTTGTTCAGCTTCTCATAATTGCTAAACTGTATACTCGGTATCATTATATGACTATGTGTTTTTCTTTTATATTTGTTACTTTGTCGAGCATGAAATTCAAAACTGTATTATATTAGTATTGCTATTTGTTGGTATGCTATTAAAAAATCGAAATTGTTGGACTGAGATCACTCAATACGATAGATGTATTGATTTAGCAGTTTTTAGGTTATACTTTGTAGGAGTTAATGTTATAGTTTCCAATCCAAAAGTATAAAGAAAATCTTTTAAATTGTTTGTTTACTTAGATTTAAGTTTTAATGGTTATTAATTTTTATTGAAATATTACATAATTTAATTTCATAGAAAATCATGGCCACTCAACAACATCCTTCCAAGAAAGCCAAAACAACATTGCATTCTGAGTGATAGTTTGACCATTTTCATTCAAAGATATCTCGTTCATGAAATAAGTATAGATTCTATTGTTGATTAGTTTGGTAAAGTGAAAGACTGTTGATTTCAATTAACTTTTTCAGTTTAGCTGGTACTGTTTTGTTGAAATCTGGCCCACCCTCTCTTCTATGACCTGGCTACATCCCTGACTCCATGTATGCAATTTTGTAATCTACAGTGGATTTGATCCTAAGTTTCAATTATGCACTTCAAGATTATAATGAATACTCTAAGTTGCTAACTCATTCACTGACTTTGGTTGCTAATGGTAGGTCTGTGGTCTACCATTTTTTGTAGAACATGACCAACTATAATGGTTTGAACATTGCATTGTTCAAATTGGTGCAATGCATGTTTGATAAATTGCAATTTTATTAAAATTATTAGATTTAGCAATGTTAGTTTTGTGTGTTAAATGTTACAGAATGACTTCTATCTGTCACTTTAATCACACTTGCAACAATCTAGATAGCATTAAGCCAGTAATGGGTCAAATTTTAGGTGCAGCAACTAGACTAAAAGCTTCTTTGGTCTACTTAGGGAATCTCGGTCCATTACAAAATATCTTCTCTCCTAAAATTTGAGAAAATAAAATGTTAGTTCATTTTAGCATAAACACACATTTTTTCTATTAAGAAGAATTATAAACTGTTTTTGGATGTCCCTAAATTGAACTGAAAAATAAAAAATGTAGGGTTAAGATTGGTATAGAGCAGAGAGAAGTAAGGAGAACCCCAAACTAATTAGTTTAAAAGGAAATTGATACTATCGTATTTGTTTGGCACAAACAACAAAGAAAGGTTGGCAGAGTATGGACAGGGTAGTAAATAAGAACAACAGACAAACATCAAACAGATGACATATAAGGTCAGGGAGAGTGTCGATATTGGAGTTGTTTGTTCAAATGCTCAGCCTTAGAAAAAGTATCACCACTTCTTCAACTTTTTGTTCCCAGTTGTGAGTTTTACCATCCCAATGTTTAATTTAATCGTACTTTGTGATTTGTATCAAATCCCCTTAGCTGCTCTAAAGCTAGGAAGCACTAAAGCGTGAAACCACCTTAGGTTTCCATTTTGGAAACATATCGGAAACAAAAAACAACTAGAAACGCCACAAAAACGGCCAAAAACGTTTCTATTGTATTGGGCTTCTAGGCCGGGTTGGGGAAACCTTTCGGAAATGTGATACTAAGGGAATGTTTGGCACAACTAGCTGAAAGATACTTTTGCGTGTTTTTTTTTAGTAACGGTTAGCTTTTAGTGACTAAAAGATCTTAAAACAAAAAAGATAATAATTGTTTGATAAAAAGTTAACAATTTGATTTAGTTCTGTTGATATACTAGTAGTTGAGACTAATTAATGCTAAAAGCTAACGACTTTTCTCAGATGCTACTCGGTGTAACTTCTCAAAAAAGATATTTTTTTTAAAAATGTTCTTAAAAGTTGTCATGCCAAACATATAATATGAAGTTTTTATATGCTTTTTAAATAGTACAAAAGCTAAAAGCTAAGGACTTATGTCTACCAAATAGGCCTGAGACTTAGAACCATAAAACCGAAAAAAACGATCCAAACCAAACCAAAATCACTGGTTCGGGTCCTGATAATATGGACTTGGGAGATTTTGGTTCGGTTCCTGACTCCTGAGATCTTATAAACGGTTCGTTTTTGGTTCTTTAAAAAAATGTCTACCAGTAACCGTATTTCGTAGGCAATACTTGTATAAAATGAATGGTGGGCTAGTTCACACCATATTATAGGGACTTTTAACTTAAAACTTTTAAACTCCCTTTTAATGTAATAGAAACGCCCCTGCTACCGCCTTCCATAGCCAGGTTTCTTCTTCTCTAGCTCTCCATAGTTTCATTCACTATTTTTATCTTTAACCCTTTGATTTTGAGACTATTAACTTTTGCACACTGCTCATCATTCTTCCTACAAGATATCCAGGTTTTCTCTAATTCCTATTTTGATTTGAAGCTGTAAATTTCATATATTAATTAGGGATACTTTATGTAATTGGGTTTCTTATGATTTTTTGTTAATGAACAAATGTCTCTCTCAACTATTAGCCAATGAACCAAAAATACTCGAGCTAAAGTTTAGGGCCATCACACTCTTCAGTTTCCAATAGAGTAAAGAGTCAGTTTGGTCCTCGAAGTTGCATAAAAGGGGTCAAATAAGTCCTTATATAGAAGATTCTGTTCGGACGTGCCATTTGAGGCGGTTCCCGGTGGAATTTTTTGATAATTTTTTTGAGCATCTTATTCATTAAGTCTAGTTTACTCATACTAAATTTCAGCTAAAAATTCAACCGGGAAGGCATTCAAATGAATTCTTGAAGATAACTGCGCTTTTAACTGCACAGTTATCTTTTGAATGTCTTCCCGATTGAATTTTTATCTCAAATTTGGTATGAGTGAACTAGACTTAATGAATAAGATGCTCAAAAAATTTCATCAAAAAATTCCACCAGGAACCGCCCCAAATGGCGACGGCCGGATAGAATCTCCTATATAAGGACTTATTTGACCCCTTTTATGCAACTTCGAAGACCAAACTGACCCTTTACTCGTTTCCAATAGGTAGGAACAAGAATGTTAATAAAAACAAGGTACATATTGACAATTGACATAGTTGATGAATGTAATGACTGCCCTCATGATTCGCAAGCCCTGGATGAGTGCTAATTCACTGTGGGGTAGAACTAATAGAGTGCGGGCTGCACGCCAACTGTTCAACGAAAAGTCTAAACGATGAAAAGGATGTTTTTTCAAAATTTATGCTTCTCTATTAATGGATCATATAGTTCATACTCAGGAGTCATAATGCCTTACTAGACCATATACTTGACCTCATTCTCCTACTGATCATTAAATTACTCTTTCTCACAAGTCACAAGTAATTTAGGGGATTTTTTATTTTCTAGTATACATTTTGGAGATTTAAAAATAATGAAAGTTATGCTTTGGAGTTAAAATTAACAGAGGGTTATATATAGACTTTAAATTTTATTTTGACAGATTTTTTAGCCCCACAAAAGATGAATGGTATATATGTTGTGTGAATTGCAGTTGGAGTTTATGTATTTTCCTTACCCATGCTTTTATTCATATGATATACAGATAGTTTTTACTTTAGATACATAAACCAGTTTATTAGTTGGAATGACATTAAGTCACTAATTTATTAAATCAACCAATGATTAACTCTAATACTTTCATTTTTTTTCTACTTTGACAACTTAATCAGTTCATTATGTTGTTCCTTTAAGTCACAAAACTTGGTATCTTATTGACTCAATTAGTTTCTAAGTTCATTCAGAATGATTTATGCGGAATAACATGCATTTTTTTTATCCCTTTTATGAACTGACATTAATGTTTTGTTTCCTTAAATTTGAGTTTACTATGTTTGAACTTTCATACTTTAAATATATCATACTTCGTATGTGTATCTTTTATGTTTTTGTTGCAGAAACATATGCCATATGCCATATGTTTGACCTGAGTTGTTTTATGTAGCAGAAATTAATGAAAGATCGAGGTCACTTAACAAACATTAGAAGATTTTTTAGGAACCGAAAAAGGCAAGAAGCGAACCGTTTACATTTTATTAGTTTCCAAAACGGTTATTGATTTTTTTAGTAGAACCGAACTGAATTTAGAAATTATATATTTATAAACCGTTCCGTGATTTTCTAACTCGAACCGAACCGATACCAGGCCTACTACCAAACATGCACTAAGTGTGCGACGCGTTTCTCTTTTTAAAAAATTAACTTCAGTCGGCCCGACAGTAAGGATGTTTTTACTTGGAGTATTTTTAGTCCAGACTAGACCTAAACAAACCAGACCAGACCTAAATTTCATAGTTATAAAATACACAGAGACCTGACATTTGCCAGACCAGGCCAGAACTTCATAGTTATAAAATACGCAGAGACTAGGCATTTACCGGTCCAGACCAGTGCAAACCAGACTTAAACAGACTAGTCCAACATTGACAATCTGCTCAATCGCACCGAACTCTGTCACTCCGAAACTTGAAATGGAGAATTGGCAAATATACCTAAACAGAGGACAGGAATAGTTCAATCGCTCAGGCAGACGCAATCGCAGTCGGACAGCTGAAAAACTGAGTCGCCGTCAGTCTGAGGCGGGCTGGAATTGCACCTGCAAACACTTTCTCCAGCCTCCAACATCATAGACTCGGCAACTAGCAGACACAGCCTGAGTCTCGCGGAGAAGGCTGAGAAGCTCGTCGGCAGTACACTCTCACCGCAGACACATAGTTTTGGGATACGTAGAATTTTGGGCTTTGGCGACTCCCTTGTTCAGCAGAGAGTAAGGATGTAACCTAGTAAACACGGAATCATGACCTATATTTGTTTTTATTAGCAAAATTTAGTTTTTAATTCGACGTTTCCTTGTCGTACCCGTATCTTGAATCTTGATATTTTGAGATTTGAGTTTCCCCGTTTCTGTCTCCGTTTCTGTTTCTGACCTGGTGCTACTAAGCGCTAAAGCAGTAAAGCTAGGTACCGGCACCACATCATTCACACCACATATCGTTTGCAATTCTGGACCCATTTATGAAACAAATTTCAAGAAAAGGCCAAGACCGAGCCTAGCTGGATAGGGTCCCTGACTTGAAAGCCAGTTAGAGATCTACATTTCAACAGGTTATATGAGTCTCACTTTCTATGAGGCCTCAATCACTTTCTGATGAATTTAGTGACCGTTTCGTAGCCTTTTATATTTCAGTTTTTGTGATCGCTTGTCAGCATTCTCAACCATGTTTTTTGCAACACTAATTTTTTGACTTCACACACTGTTACGGACCTAGCCCATACTAGGGGTATAGCAGTGCCATAAGCCCAGATGTAGAACTCACTCCTAAAAGACTAGCCGATTAGGAGGAGGGAACACCTTGCTTATAAGCCACCGGTCAAGCCTAGCCCATACTTGACCGGTGTGGGATCGTAACAATACCCCACGCTTCGAAGAGCCAACGTCCTCGTTGGTCACGGCTATGTTGGTCACGGTTGGCACCCCCCAGGGCCCAAGCCACCACTCCATAGGCCACCACTCCAAGTGTTGGAACTAGGAAGATGGGGACGGCTCTAATACCAATTGTTACGGACCTAGCCCATACTAGGGGTATAGCAGTGCCATAAGCCCAGATGTAGAATTCACCCCTAAAAGACCAGCCAATTAGGAGGGAACACCTTGCTTATAAGCCACCGGTCAAGCCCATACTTGACCGGTGTGGGATCGTAACACACACTAACTGGTTAATAATCTGAAAAGCATGACTGAAGAAGTTTGATTCTGACTCTTTACAAGTTAACATCGCTCTGTATCTTTATCTGTTTCTTGGTGATATCTATGAAGTATGAACTGATTTTTATAATTAACATACTATAAGTAAGTATTGCCGGAAGAGGTTTTTTAGTTGCATTTGAATTAATTTTGTAAGTGGTGTATTTCTCAAGGCAGGCTTGAAATACATTTTTGCTTCCTTCCTAACCTCTAAGCTCTAACAGTGTTGTGCTGTTTTCCTCTGTATTATCCCAGATATACCCACTTTTTGCAAATGGTTTTGCTTTTGAATTGAATTAATTTTGGCCTTTTCTCTTTTCAACTGCAGAAAGTAGTTGTGTATATGGCTTTAACTTTGTAAAAATGACTAACATTTAAATGATGTAAAATTAATAAATATTTGTTTGTTGCCAAAAGGAAATGACAAGTGAGTAATTAAAACTTGATTTACTCCATTCTCATAGTAGCCAGATGCTACATGTGCAATCTTTAAATCTGGGCTGCATCTAGGACACTATTCGCTATGTGCTAATTGAATGGTTTTGAATCTAGTATGCTTAATTTTGTTTCTTTCCCTTGCACTTCACAATTTGTTCTTCTGGCAGATATGATTACATATTCAGATAATAGGCTTATAGCTATTGAATATAGACATCTTTCTACAATGAAAAATGTATAACAGGTCTATTTCAGCATTAACATTGACATATCAGAGCCTTCTTGTTATGAAATTATTTAGACTTATATTTAGAATGACCAGTTTAGAAAAGGATTTCTCTATCTTTTATTGTGCAATATATGAATGTTGCCGAGCTGCTATATGATAAGTTAGTTGATTGTTTTGCTTTGTTAAATGAGAGACTGTAAATTGCATATGGTCCGAGTATTCAACTGCTAGCAATTGGCTATTATTGTTCTGTGAGCTACTTACTCATATTTAATATATGTGTTTCTAACCATTGTCATTCTCAGAATGTCAGAGAAGTTCTCGGCAACATTGAGGATTGGGGATTTGAATGATTACATAGCTCCGTCCCAAGGTTGTGTTGTTTCCCTCAAAGCAAATTCCAATAGGCTTGAAAAACTCGAGGTATCTAGTTGCAATTCTAGTTTCTAGGCTTTTAGTCAATTATTGGTGTATTATACTTTATAAATGCCGTGGTGGTGAATTTTCAGTTCAATAAAATGGCGTCAATGCTTGCTACTACGGTTTTGGATTGAATATGTTAATTGCTTTCTTGGGATATTTAGGTGAACTTAGAAGCGGTCAACTATGGTTGAAGGAATGTTGTTTGAAATAGAGCATTTTCTATTTTGTACGGGTTGGCTAACATCTGCACCTATGCACCTGACAAGATGCATTACAATGCACTTATTAATATCTATAAATGGAAAATCTAAACAGTCATGCTATCTCGTGCATGGAAATACTCTTTCAAGAAATCATATTTATGTCAACTAAAAGGATATTAAATACATCTTGTCACATGGTGCATAGGACAGATATGAGATATCTCATTTTTAGTATTTAAAATTCAAGATATTTAAGAAAGATCATATGTAGCTTTCAACTCTTGAGAAATATTGCAATATTCTGTTGAGTAAATTACCTTATGCTGTTTATCACCGAATAATATTTTAGATTTATGTGATAATTTGTTGCTTTCAATTGAATCAATTCTTTATGGTGCATGAATAGCGCTCAGTAAAAGTTGAAGAAGCTCCAAAACCATCTGTAACAAATGAGGCCGTTAAGATTTCTCTCAAGGACTGCTTAGCATGTAGGTATTTATCATCCTCTCCCTACCCATTTGCTTTAATCAGTTGTACTTTATGTGCATTTAGGAGAGAGGTGTATTCTTTGCTATTTTTGGGTTTAAGGTGTCGCAACATGTAATAGAAGTCTATCACATTGTGTTTTGGGCCCTATTGTGATATGTATAGCCTTGTATGGAAGCATTCTTTTTGGGATCTTTGAGCCTGCTACTCTCACAGTTACATATGTATCACCTTGAATATGTTTTTTTGTTCAAAACTTCAAATTGAGTCTTGTTCAAGTATCTGCAAGTGTTTAATTTAATAAATGTCCATCATTCAGTGGATGCATTACTTCAGCAGAGACAGTAATGCTTGAGAAGCAGAGCCTAGATGAGTTTCTTTCAAACATAAACAAAGGCAAGGTGGTGGTTGTCTCTCTTTCCCCACAGTCTAGAGCTTCACTTGCTGTCCACTTCAACCTTTCCCCACATCAGGTTAGTTATAAGTATACATATCTTCTCATTTGTCCGGATGGTATCATCGCCACCACCTTGATCCGTACATGTGTTGGCCAAGGTGTAGCCACAACTTGATACTAGGTTGGTCACATTTAAAAATTGAAAAAATCAAAGGAATCAAATGCATTGAAAAACATAATTTGTAATATTCCAACTCTTTGTTATTTTCAATTGGCTGCTTAGTTATTACTCAGGTTTACGCATTAGGTACTTACAATGTGCATACAAAGGAATAATTCGACCAATATAGGGTCAGAGGCTCATTTGAACAAACCTTTCACTATTTCACACTCTTTTACACTCTAATTTAAAGTATATATACAAAGACTTACATAAAGCAGAGTTAGGGTGGCCGAGGTGATGGACAGCCTTTCCCTAGTCCCTAGCTCTGCCCGTGTATGCTGAGTTGGCTGCCTGAAAGTTATAGTTTCAACCAATTGTCTAAATTAGCTACCACTTGATCACTGTAAAAAAGTATATTGAAAGTATTTCTCCAGTTGTCTTTGCAAAGGAATCATGAGATGATAATGGCATCAATTTTTAGTTGAAGCATGTGTCTCTGCACACACATGCACAAAGAAGCATGCAAAACATATTTAAATGTGCTATTTTATTTTTTCAGGCCTTTAGGAAATTGACAACTTTTTTCAAATCCTTGGGTGTGAATGCTATATTTGATACAAGCTCCAGTCGAGACTTAACTTTGATTGAATCTTGTAATGAGTTTATAGAACGTTATAAGCAATCCCAAATACCAGGTGTGGAGGAATCAAAGTGGCAATTACCTATGATATCTTCTGCATGTCCAGGTACTTTCTTGTGGTACTTGTGTGTCTAATCCCCTTCTGCGTGAATAACTTGTTCTCTTTGATCCTTCGTTGATCCATTGATGTTTTATTATAAATGTTGATTATCTATTAAAACTACAGGATGGATATGCTATGCTGAGAAAACACTTGGATCATACATTCTTCCTTTCATTTCCTCAGTCAAGAGCCCCCAACAGACTATTGGTGCTATTGTTAAGAATTATGTATGCGAAAAACTGCACACTAGGTGATGGGCCATCATTTTATATCTTTAGTAATTGTGTACTATGATGTCTACTGTCCAGCATGCATTTTATTACTTGAGTGGTTTGTGTGCTGTCATGTTCCCTCATTTGATGGCTAAAGTGGTCCACAAAGCAATAGAGGAGCTAAACTTTTCCCCAAATATTAATGTCTGAACAGGCCTGAGGATATATACCACGTCTCAGTGATGCCTTGTTATGACAAGAAACTTGAAGCATCACGTGATGATTTTGTGTTTAATGTGGATGGTGATGGTGAAGAAATTACGGAGGTAGATTCGGTTTTGACTACGGGAGAGGTTTTAGAGTTGATACAGGTTCACCCAATGATTTTACCACTTGTTTCACATTATATAAATCGTTTTGTATAAGATTATATTACTTGTTGAAGTTCAACCAACATCTTTGACCAAAAAGTCAAACGTGATCTACCTTTGCGGATGGTTGTATTATTAGATTTCTAATACATGTTTGTGTATGTTATATGTGAATCTATGCATCATATATGTTAGTTCGGTTCTCTTTTTTTTCCTGTTTTGTTTGTGAGAATTTGTTGCTATTGACATACTTCTATTTCTCACTGCAGTCAAAAGGAATTGAATTTAATGCCCTGGAAGAGTCTCCATTAGATACATTGTGAGTCAGTGTTATACCCTGCACAAGTGTCATTTATTTAGCATAGTCTGGTTAACAATGGAGTGCATTTTTAATCTACAGGCTAACAAATATTGATGATGAAGGACATCTGTATGGAGTTCCTGGGAGCTCAGGAGGATATGCAGAGACAATTTTCCGTTATGCTGCTAAAGAATTGTTTGGGAAGGAAGCTGGATATCCTTTGAACTTTAATATCATAAGGAATTCAGATTTCCAAGAAGTTAGTCTAGAGGTAAGTGATATGTAGCAAAGATGCCTATCATCACCATCATCATTATTATTTATTATTAATAGTTTCCTGTATAAGTATGACTGTATGAGTATAAGTTTCCTGTGATTAGCAGTTGCAGTTTCGTATAGCATAGATACTATAATATAGCTAATATCCCTAGTAGAAGTATTGTAATAATGAGCCACCAAGACCTTTGGAACTTTTATAAATACAGGTGCTTTATTCAATAATAAATAAGATCTTCAATCTTTTGGACAAATAATTCTTCTTGTGCACTCTGTGAAACAGACGGACTCTTCTAGGGTGGGAAGCTGCGTTACTTCTCCAATTACCATACTTTTCAATCTTCTATTTTCCATCTCCCGACCACGCCTGTAACAGTTATTCATATTTGTAATGGTTATGTAGTTGAGCACGATCTTTAACTGTTAATCAATTTTTATTATATTCAATGTCTAATAATAACAATTTCAGGTGGAGGGAAAAAGTGTTCTGAAATTTGCACGGTGTTATGGTTTCCGAAATCTGCAGAATGTGGTTAGGAAAATCAAAACGGGGAAGTGTGATTATCAATTCCTAGAGATCATGGCATGCCCTTCAGGTTTTTTTATTCTTCCATGGGTGCTAGATTAATAATTGCGTATCTGAACTCTTTTATGAAGACCTATGATATTGAGATACAATTGGGGGATCTGATAAACAGGGTGCTTAAATGGTGGTGGTCAAATAAAACCGAGGGCTGGGCAATCTGCAAAAGATCTGATCCAAATGTTGGAGAAAGCTTACATGGAAAATGTATGTAAATTGTTTGCACCTGTGTTATAACCTTGAATATTATGGTTGTATATATTTATGTGCTTTGCCCATATTTTGGTTCAGTTATATAATTGATTTTAACCCCCCCCCCCCCCCCCCCCCCGCATAGGCTCTGCTTAACCTATGATAATCAAGTATTCAAGGGAATGGAACTATACAAGGGCAATAGCCAGAGCTCCTAAAAATTCTGAGATTTGGAACATGTGTTCTGCCATAAAAAATATATCATCATTTAAAGTTTTGTTGTAAACATTTTCACTTAAAGATAATGTTTGTTTATCAAATTGGAGTGGGTTGAAGCCTGGTATAGACTAACAAAGAGAGTTAAACTTGGGCGGAGATAAAAGAGAGGCTTAAACCCCAAAGAACCTCTTGTGGTTATATTGTTCAGAATAATTTCATTTTTTTTCAATTATATAATGCGAGAAGAAACATATTTGCTCTTGAACTGTATGATTATTATGATAGAAAACATATGAACTCCTCAACATTTTGAGGAACATAAAAGTTGTAGAGTTGGAACGAATATACTGTTGAATAGTACGGAGTATATCATAGAACAGACATATCCCTCAGGTATCGGACATAAGGGTTTATTTGTTCCAAGTTTACAATTTTTGTGGTAAAATTTTCTAAAAAGAAGTTGAAAAGTAATATTTTCTCTTACATATTCGAGGGCATATTTGTTTCTTATCCATTATATATATACACTGAAAATGTTACTTGTATGAGCGTTTCATTTTCTTTTGTATTAATATGGAAAGTGAATAACTTTCCATATTAATAATTTTATTTTACTTGATATTTTCCGGGATCCTAACATGCCATTACTATTGGTTTTATTATTGATAATCTATATAAAATTCATATATACCCTTAATGTGTAGGTCTTGGTAGCCAATCCATCAGAGAACCCCATCATTAAGGGACTGTATAACGAGTGGCTTGAGCGTCCTGGTTCAGAAAAAGCCAAGAAGCACATTCACACCCAGTACCACCATAGAGTTAAGAGTATAACCTCTCAGTTGCAGAATTGGTAGTGATGATGAAAGGTAATATGTCACTGTCTGTCTTTGCTTGTCATTCAACACAATTTTGGTAGTAGAAGTGATATTCAGAAACCGTTCTGCACTGTAAATATCTCACTTCATGACCCATCAAATTTTCTGTAATATATTTGAGTTATAACTTATAGGTATGTCAGACACGGTGAAACTGTGTGTTCAGAAGTATTGATGGCAAACGTTAGTATCTGCAGTTGCATTAAAGTTAGTCTTGTGTGTATGTTGTGTAGTGATTGCTAAGATTACTCAACCTCAACTATTCAGATCATGGATTGGAGTAGATATCTTCATTTCTTTCGTGGTTGCTTTAGTCTTTAATAAGCTAAAAAAATCAACATGGAGAACCTATAAAGAAACATTTAGAGGGCTTGGGGGGTGGGGTAAGAAACACTACTCAGACCATTCCTTTCCATTTTCTAAAACTCTCAAACAAGAGGAAAAGAGACATATGCTCTCAATTCACTTCAAAAGGCAAAGTCCAAGCAGACCCTCAGAGAGAGGCTAAGGTTCTGAAATTGGACAACTATTATAAATAACATTGCAATTACCTGCTTGTTTAAAAATAAGGTATGATGCGATATATTGGTCTGAATCTTGAGTGCCAAGGAAGAATTGCTTGGACAGTTTGACCTACTTGCTATGGAAAATACCCTCAAACATATTTGAAGATGATAACAATATGGGTAGTGGATAAATGTACTCCATATTTATGTAAATAAGTAAAAGTAGATTCGGATATAGAGCTTTCAACAGATGAAACTAGTATTACAGATCCTACAACTGCTTTGATATTTATGTGCATTCCAAATTAACTATTCGGTTGGTCCTCATTCTTTGATGGTGGGACTTCAGTTTCAAGTAAAGACTCCCAAGGATTATTTCAGCCTTTCCTTTAACCTTTCATGTTTCAACTTCTTCCATCCCGGGAAAGGCGAAGGTGAGCATTGCAAAAAAGTATCTGATCTCAAAGTAAAATCAGAGGGGAAGAAAGGGTAAGCAAGCAATATAAAGTGTTAACAGTCTGCTTTTGAAAAAAATGCAGAATAGACAGCTATCGTTGGTCATTCTGTCGTTTCCTCCACATCTAGGGAGGTAGATATTGATAATAATCAATGAATCTGATGCAGCATTTAATGGTGGATTTGGGTCGGGCCACCCAGCCCGTGGACTGGCCCGACCTGCTACTGTGCGGGGGGACCGGGACCGGCCCGGTTCTCGGGTCCGGGTATGGATGGACTCGGTTTGGCCCGGGCCCGGGTTGGGCCTAGGCCCGGTCGGGCCTCCGGTCCTGGATTGGAGGGCCCGAAACCGGCCCGTGTAACCGCCGGGTCCGGGTCAGGCCAAGCTGGGCCGGGCCTCGGGTATTTTTTTTTGCCTTTTCCTAATTAACCCCCAACCCCCAATCCCCCCTCACACCCAAACCACCTCAAATGGCCCAAAATACTCGGCCCAATCCAAAAACTTAAAAAAAAAAAATAAAAAAAAAAAGCCCGGACCGGCGGGGCCGGTTCACGTTTTGAGGGGCCCAAGCCTGGACCTAAACCACCCCGGGTCGGGCCTACCCGGACCAGTCCATGACCGGGCCACTGGGCTGGAACAGTGGCGGGCCGGGCCGGTTCCGGGTCGGGCCACCCGGCCCGAGTCCACCCATAGGTCTGGGTCGGGCCTAGGCCCGGGGGGATGCGGGTCCGGGCTCGGGTCTTACGTTTGGCGAACCGGCCCGGTTGGGCCTGGGCCAAATTGATTCCCCCCCCCCCCCATTTTTTGGGGTTCTACCCGGGTTGGGCTTGATGGTTAGGAGGGGTTTGGGGGGTTTAGGGGGTTGGGGGGTGAGGGGGGTTAGGAAAGCCAAAAAAAAATACCAAACCGAAGGCCCGGCCCGGCCCGGTCCCGGTGGCTACCCGGGCCGGTCCCGGGTCCACCAATTCTGAACCGCCGGCCCGCCCGGGCCTAGGCCCGACCCAGACCCGGCCTGAATCCACCCCTGGCAGCATTATATAGGAGGAAGAAACTAATTAATTAAGCTGATTAATTACGAAATACGAAATGAGATTTACATACAATGAGAGACAAAGGATGCGTTGTTTAGACGAAGGATGAGACTCATTACAATTAACTTGCTATTTATGAATGGTGATTTATACCATCAAGCAATTCTTGCGGGTATAGGATAGCTACACTTATGGTACAAATTACCTTGACAAATCACAGTTTGTATTGTATCTAGTGTCATTGGATTCACATTTCAGGCTTTAATGCCATGTCATTCTGTTTACAAGTTTACATGTCCACATTGAATTGGTTTGTAATGGTGTTAACTGTTAAGTCATGATATCCTAAATTATCCTTATTAAAATGCAAATTCTACTAGGATAAGTAAGTCACGATTTTATATACTACTTTCGTCCCATAATGTAAGAAATATCCTATGAGTTTTAACTTTTAAGAAAATAAAGGAGAAGAGTTGTTGTTATACCATTCTAACCTCAAAAGTAATAAAATGTAGGATGAGTCCACAAAAAAGTGAAATGTGAAATGATATATTAAGCCATTAAGGGCCATAATTTGTGTGTCACTTCCTCTTGTCCCATTGTTAGGCACTTAGGGGGGACGGAGGGTGTATTTTAATTTATAGTGATGTATGTACACAAAGAGTAAATATTCAATAACATTTAAAAGATTGAGCTTAACTTTTAATTTGTTGAATATATGTAATTTTAAATGTTTAAAAATGAATGTAAAAATTTCTGAGTAAGTAGGACATTAACTCAAAATTATGAAACCGACATTAACTTTATTTAAATACTCCCTCCGTATCTATTTATTTGACCCACTTTTCTTTTTGGGGCGTATCAAAATAAATCTCTCATTTCCCTTTTTGGAAATAAACCCACCCAAAAAGCAGCTACAGTACCGCTACAGTACTGCTATAGTATCACTACAGTACCAAAAACCTCCTACTTTACATATATTTGCCTTAAATTACGTGAAAAAGCATACAGGTCAATTAAATTGATACGGAGGGAGTAGGACATACCACACTTAGATATGGAGTAAAAAAACAATACTACTCCCTCCGGTTTTTAATAAACTTCACACTTTCCTTTTTGGGACGCTCTAAAATAAACTTCACACTTCCTTATTTCCTTTTTTGGTAAAGAAATCTACATCAAAACAGTGCCAAACAGTGCCAAACAGTGTCTCAACAGTGCCAAACAGTGCCTCTACAGTGCCAAACAGTGTCAAACAGTGCTTCAACAGTGTACTCTACAGTAAAGTCAAATTTCTTTCCTTATTTTGTGTGAAGTCAAACTGTGAAGATTAAAAAAAACCGGAGGTAGTAGTATATACTACTCCCTCCGGTTTTTAATAAACTTCACACTTTCCTTTTTGGGACGGTCTAAAATAAACTTCACACTTCCTTATTTTCTTTTTTGGCAAAGAAATCTACATCAAAACAGTGCCAAACAGTATCTCAACAGTGTCAAACAGTGTCTCTACAGTGCCAAACAGTGCCTCATCAGTGTACTCTACAGTAAAGTCAAATTTCTTTCCTTATTTTGTGTGAAGTCAAAGTGTGAAGATTACATTTTTGAGCAAGATCACTTTGTTCATGCCTTTTGTGATAACCTTTTATTGATTACCTTTTTCATGTTTTTACACTGTGCAACTGGGTTTCTCCATTGTCTTTTATATACTACCTCCGTCCCTTAAAATTTTGTCAAGTTTGACTGACACGAGGATTAATGAAGTAAAAATTGTGTGGTTGAGTTTTGTGCAAAGGAGAGAGAATTAACTTGAACCACACATTCTTTACTTAAAAGAGAAAGTGACAAAGTTAGTGGAACATCCAAAAAAAGAAAGTTGACAAAATTTTAAGAGACAGAGGGATATATTAATATACTAGTGTTGAAGTATTTATAAATACGTAGTACATGTTACTAACTAGTGTGTGATAAATAGTTCAACACATATTAATCTGACTTGCACAATTTTATAATAAGCCAACTCAATCCGCATGTCAAATCTGCTGATTGAATATTCCATCAATGTTTGACACAATTCTCTAAATGCATGCTGATTTCCAAGTGTGTCCTAGACATACTTGATCTCCAAGAAAACTTGACAATTTCGTATAAAATTTTATAATTCAACATAGTAAATGCTTTCTTTTTGACTTGATCGCCAAGAAAATAATTTTGACATGTTTATAAAAGAAATATGCATGGGATTGATTTGTCACGTGGGTGATTCCGATTAGCAGGCAGTCAGAGAACATTATATTAGGAAGATCGATCACCATCATTATATTTCCTTCTCGATCACTTTAGTTACAGAATATTTGACTATTTCCTTCTTGACCACTTCAGAAATATTTGACTTAAAATGGGAATAACAAGTCACCTCATAAACTAAAAGGTTTAAAAAATACCATTCTAGAACACTATGATCGATCCTTGATATCGGTTTCATTTTTGTTCTCATACACTGATGGACACGTGCGACTCACCACACACAATAGCGTAGATACATATCCATATTGGGCTGAACAGCTATAAAAAGTTTGTGGAAAAATTTAACACAAAATACTTTAATATTTTCGATTTTTTTTTTAATTTAAATTGGGTCGGGACTTGGCCCCTAGCTACATCCATGATTACATATATGCACGAGTCCGCCTAATTAGTGTGTAAGACATAAACAAAGTGTGCATAGGCCCAGACCACCCCAAATTAGAAAAATATCTTAGTTTTTAGTGCAATTAATTCAGTGTAAATTATTTTTCAAAAATATTCTTCGTACCGGTTCAGTCAAACCCAGTGCTCTGACTCCTTTTTCTTCCTTCTTCTAAACGGCTCACCGGAAAGTTCCTCTATTGGGCTGGAAGGCGCCCAAATTAAAAGTGTGTACTCTGTATAACTCCTTTTATTGAAATACGTAGTATATACTAGTAGGACATATTCACTCTTAATTGAGGGATTAACTCATATTTGGTGTACAAGTCTTTTGCAAATATTTTTATACATGTTATCTATTTATGTCTATATAGTCAATTTTAAGAAATACTTGTGTACACAAGTAAATAGTGAGGGTACACAAACCGTCTATAAAGGTAAATTTTCATTTCTAAAAACGTTGGTCCGCATATACGTAGTATTATCTCCGTTCTTAATTAAGTGAAAACATGTTGAATTTTACATTATTCGCATGTTTTTACTTTGACTACGTTTTATTTATTAATGTATTAATATATTTTTTTGAAAAAAATATAGTAAAACTTGTCTCATTGTAAATTTTCAAAATCTGTTTTTTAATGATTTTACTAATAGAGAATCTATATATATATTAAAACGCAAAAGTCTAGAGGAGTTTGGGCGGGAAGTGCAAAAGGAAGCAGTTGACCTAAATGTTTTTGATAATTTGGAAAAAAAGCTTTGTAAATTACGGAGTATATAATACAATAAAAAGCGACAAAGCATTAAATGCACTCGGCTGCAATTGGATGATAGGCAACGCAATACTTCGTAAATCAAAATGATTTGGCATACCACTAACCACTTAAGTGTATGTACGTGTAATTAATTGTTCTTTAAACAAATTGAATATATCCCGTAATTCCAAAAGGTGGTGTAATTAATTGGACGGTAAAGGCATTTTGCAATTCCAAAGTAACTCATTCATTAAATAGCGCATGGATCGGAGTGATGTTTGAACTTCTGGAGGTTTTTGATTGTAAATCACTGCATGCCCTATATATATAAAGATGGTAGTTGTTGGATCCCTGATCGAGCGAAATGGTGGTGTTGTGGTTTTGTCGCAGATGTATTAGCAAGATCGGTGGAGGGTTTCGATGACCACTGGGTTTGGTAATCTAATTAAGGAGGTTGACGTTGCAGTCATTGATGGGGTTTGAGAGAGCAGTAAGTCCAGTAACCAGCCAGTATTTCGTTCACTGATGGCATTTGGGAGGGCGATGGAATGAGGAACGGCAAGGTGTTTGTTGGGAAAAGAAAGGACTGAAAGTCAAGCTAGATTATTCTGCTACCGGGGTTGCCTTTTCCCATTTGACTTCTTGATTAATCACGTTGCCACTCAAACACTCAAAGAGTGATGATTAATTTAGTCATTGGGTATGTTTGGCAAATGGCTGTTAGCTGTTGTTGTTAGCTGGTTGTGTCAGCTGTTTCCTAACAGCTGGTTGTGTTAACTGTTTTGACCGGCTGGTTATGTTAGCTGATTATAGATAATTGTTTGGTAAAATTGGTTGTTTCGAAATGGCTGATAGAGTGTAAATTGAACCAGCCGAATGAATAAGCTGCCCCCCTTAGCTTCTTCAACAATCCATTTTTTCAGCTTTTCAAACTCAACAAGCTAATTTTAAAAGCCATTTACCAAACATCATTATTAGCTTCTTTGACCAATCAAACAGCTGAAATGGGTCAAACAAGCTAAAAGCCGGCTGATAAGCCATTTGCCAAACATACCCATTATCTTCTCCATTTTTATTCTTTTATGTTTCACTGAAGATACTTATTGAGCTAAATTTCACCTCTCTTTGTAGTAAACATGTTATGAATCACAAACATAAATAGGTCTTTGAATGAGCAGAGTCAAATACAATTTGTCGAAATTCTATGACTTTTTTTATTTCTCATAAATCAAACAACATTTCCTAAAACACAATTATACAAGTATTTGTCGGGGTGGAATTGTTTAAATCCTATAATTGTAGTTTAGTCTTGATTACGAGTATAATTGAGGAGATACGAGTTTTACTTTTATACGGAGCATAATACAGTACTTTGGACAAATTTCCACAATGATGCATCCTGCTACATGATGTGTGTATGCCTAGAATACCATAAAACATACTACATACCCCGTTCCTAAAAATCCTTTCCAGATTGATTTGGCACGCTTATTAAGAAAGTAGAATTAAGCGGAAATGTATGGTTGTGGATGTGTAAGAAAATGGTAAAATGAACATGCCTACACAAATTGTCCAAAAAGGAAAGTGCGAAGTATTTTTGAGAACGGAGGGAGTATTGATCACATGTAATGTTTTTGTACTTGATATGATAAAATGATTTATTAAATCAGTTGCATAAATGCATAATAATACTTAGGTGAATTAATTGAATGTTTGTAAAACAAACAAAAATTTGAATATGTTGGTGGAAGAATCGATTACACTTCTCAGCATTATTGTTATTATATTCAACTTCAGTAAAAAATAACTATATCTCCACAATTATCAACGTCGGTGCTTAATAATGTGTTTTTTAACTGCATGGATTGGGGGACCTGGGGTAAACTGGTATCGATCTTACTTCATTGAGAATTGAACTTGGAACTTGGGACCTCACATAAGAGTAAACTGGTATCAATCCCCCATTGAAAAACCCATTGAAAAATTCATTTTTTAAATAATTTTTTACACATAAAATTTACATTAAAAATACAAAGAAATCCCAAATTTGGGGTGAGCCGAGGCCCGATTGACCTCCTCTCTACATCCGCCGCTGGGAAAGTTAGTCGGCGACCAACTTATCCGGACCACTTAATAATGTGTGTATATTATAAAGTGTTATCTAGCAAGAAAAATATCTCTTGGTCATAAAATTATATTTTCGTGATATTCATAAAAGGAAACGTAGAATCGAATAATTTATTTGTACAAGTCTACGAGGTGGGAAGTGTTTAAGAGCTGAAGTGCACTTTTAATTTATTTATGTCAATTAATTATTTTCTAGAGCTATATGATTTACTAAAAATCCTCTACTATAAAAAAATATGGGATTAACAATGATTTTTTCCAGAGATTTGTCAAAATTCATACAGGATTTGGCAGAAGTATGCCAAATATTTGCTAAAAGGTGGTGGATAATAAGAGATGGAAATCCATTTTAAGTGATAAATTAAATATGTGGTAAATCAATTTTTCTTTTCTCTACAAATCTCAATTACACAATTTTTACTTCATTATTTTATGGGCATATTAAACTTGGCCGAATTTTACAAGAAGAATAAAGCATGCATTATTCATATTATTTAAAAAATTACTATTCTATATGCAAAATATATTTTCCCGTGCATCGCACGGGTACTAAACTAGTTATGTATGTTAATTATCAAAGTTGTGCATCGACAAATGTGGAAAATTGACCGTTACACCTATTTAAGATACGACGTATTATGTACGTGGTATAAAAGTAATAGCCTAGCTAGCTAGGGTTTAAAATACGGAGTAGAATTTATACCTATCTAATTAAGATTCTCCTATTTATTTTTAGCCCCAGGCCTAGGTAATGTTTGACTAAAAATAATACGTCGTATACTAATAGGAGAATCTATTTATAATCCAATTCTTGCACTGACTTTATAATAGGTCGTATAATAGGCCGGTCACACATTTTAATGAGACACGTGATAATTAATAGGCCGTACACATTTTAATTCTCCTATTATAGGCCGTACACATTTTAATTCTCAATATTAATGAGAATCTTAATAATAGGCCGTACACATTTTAATTCTCCTATTTATTTTTAGCCCCAGGCCTAGGTATAATAGGAGAATCTTAATAATAATCCAATTCTTGCACTGACTTTATAATAGGCCGGTCACACATTTTAATGAGACACGTGATACTAATTCTCTTATTTCGTTCTTATAATTATATTCCTCTCCAGATGGAAAAGTCCGAATTGAGGAAGAAGGTAATAAGAACCCACCCGATATAGTATATAAATAACCCAAGGCCATAAATATTTAATCACAACCGATCACTATAGTTATAACTTCTGAGTTAGAAATAAAAAAATGGCTATTAAGACTTATGCACGGACTGCTCCTTGTGAAACTTGTGAGGGGAAAATGGACATGACGCTGGAAGAGTTCAAGAAATGGATATGGAAGTTCGACGAAGACGACGACGGGAGGATCAACAGAAGTGAGCTCCGGGAAGCCATCCGAGCCGCCGGCTTGAGGTTCTCGTGGCTCAAAGCTCGCCAGGGGATGAAGGCCGCCGACGGGGACGGGGACGGCTTTATCATCGACGGTGATGAATTTGCCAGGCTCGCTGCTTTCGCCCAAGCCCACTTCAATATCCGCATCGTCAGCTATTAATTATATTATATTTCTTCCTAATAAATATTTGATGAGCACTTTATAAATACTATCGTATAATTCATTTCGGCCATCTATTTGCATAATGATGGCTTAATTTCGATATTCATGCATGTTTGTATATACTCCGTAAATAAATAGATATATTTATGTATCTGTAATTATCTGTGTTTATGTATAAGGCCAAGGGAAGCAGAGCTCATTATCTTAATTCTTAAGAAAAAACGTCAATTTCCTATAACGAGCACTTTTTATGACATAGCATCATATCTAAAGAATTTTTCCACATTAATTAGTTAGAATTTGATACATTACTCAAGAATAATAATAAAAAAATAACGAGCACTTTTTATCACATATCCAATTTTTGAGTTGAATGATAAAAAAATTCACTATTCATTGTTGCACTTTTTAGTCACTATAATGTTCGTTTATTGGAAATTGGAAATTTATCTTTTTATCACAATCTACGATATCTCTACACAATGTTATCAGCCAAAATGCAACAATAATGAAGTGGAAAATTTTATCATTCAACTCAATTCATGCATGGTAATATGTTATCGAAAAAGCTAAGAAAGGACTCCCAAAACATTGTATTGGGAGAAACTGTTTCATGTGTTATCAATCGACCTCAGAAACCTATTCTGCAACTTCAGTGGGAGGATCCCCAAAACTACCTATGGATTCTCAATATAATAAACATCACAGTTGTGTTATGGGGGGCGGGGGTATTAGAGATACTCCCTCCGTCCCATTTATATTGTCTCATTTTACCTTTTCGAGAAGTCTCACTTAAATTGTCACATACCATCAGTGGCGGACCCAGAAAAACAGAACCACGGGGTCCTTATTCTAATGCCACTCTAATTTATAAAAATTAAAAAATAGCATAGTAAACAAGTAACATGATAAACAAAATACAACATCTTGCAAGGGAAATAACATGGTAAACAAAATGTCGCATATGAAAATCCTATTCCTAAAAAAAGATCACAACGTAACTTCACACTCATTCTTAAACAAATACCATGGCAAACAAAATGCAACGTCTTTACCAATATAATAATGTATTTCAACCATTTATGCTTATCAAACCAACTTGAAACAAATCTACATCTTTTGCCGCCAATTACCCTTAGAAGGGAAATCATGACCCCAAGGGTGAAACGGCCCTTTTTAAAGGTAACTGCGGCGCGCGTACCTCGTCTTGATCATTAGGATGAAAAACAACATTTTTTTCTCAATCAACACTACAAGAACCAGCTTCCAAATATTCAAAATCAACATGTTGTTTATGGAGATTATAAGCCTAATTAGTTTCACTTTTAGCAATTATTTGATCCGATTCTTCATTTACTAATGGCGAATCATTTAAGTTAACATCTGAATTACTCCCGCACTCCGAATTTTTTTAAATCTTGTACACTATCCAAATATCTCTTCATCCTAAAATGTGACTCATGAACTCTTATTTTGAGAAGTTTTAATCAAAATTTTCTTTTAATAGGATTTAATAAGTCTCATTTGGGAAATAAAACATAATCAGTCCTTTTTTTAAACTTTATATATGTTTTAGTCCTATATTTAGCAATTTCTATTTAATAATTTAATCATAACACTCAAATAATTTTAATAGTTAACCCAAAAAAATGAATTATGAAAAGGGTAAATAATAAAACATGAGAAACACAATTAAAGTAAAATGAATTAATTATGCAAAACTTTGTATATGTTTTAGTCTTATATTGAGCAATTTCTATTTAATAATTTAATCTTAAAAAATAATTTTTAATAATTAAGCCCAAAAAATGAATTTGCAAATGGTGAAGAGGTAAACCATAAAACATGGGGAAAACAATAAAAGTAAAAAATGAATTGTGCAAAGTTTAAAAAAACGAAAGGAGTAAACAACAAAACATGGAAAAAACAATAAAAGAAAACATTCGGGTATTTCATTTCCAAACGAAAAAAGAAGTAAAGAAAATACATGTAAAAGACAAAAAAAGGAAAAGGAGTTGGGGGGAATCGAACCCCTAACCAGGAACGCGCTTTAGTGACACGCGAACAACCATCGGGCTACTCGATTCCATATGTGAAAAACAACATTTTTCAGATATATACATTTCGTAATTAATTTTATATAAAATATATATAATACATATAGGTATTATTTTTGAACTACACGGGGTCCCGGGACCCCGTAGGACCCTTAGTGGGTCCGCCACTGCATACCATATTTGTCAAAGTTTGTGTGGCTCTGAATCATTCTTACTTTATTATTACTTTATCAATTAATATCAACCACACAACCCAACTTTTCTTAATAACCGTGTCACCCTCTTCCGGGACAATATAAATGGGACGGAGGTAGTATAACATAACGGTTTCCGCTAAATTAAACGTCATATTCTAATTCACTTGAGAGACAAGATATTCCAAAGCATAATGTAACACCAAGTCTAAACCTCTTGGATTCAGTATGAAAAAATATTGATATATCTAGAAGCAACAATAAACATATTTTTAATAAACGGAAAGATACGACTATTCCAAAGCAAGCATTTTTTCTCATCACCCTCCCTCCAACTCACTTCGGTGGCAAATCAAAACTTTCAACGTAGAAGCAGAGAAGGCCATCATAATCATGAAATTTAACATCATCTGGTACAACTGTACAAGGAATATCTCATCTAGTTTGTCTTCTTTGACATCATACACACATGTTCTACGGAAATAACCAAACCTCATAAATACTTTCCCATTTTGGGACATAAATTTGAGCATGTCAACGTCTCGCCGAGCAATTCAAACATGGAGATGGCAAAGGATGCGATCCAAGACTCTGATTTTCCATATTCTTTCATAATTGACACTTGGAACACTTGCCTCTTTTCATCCTTCCTTGCCATTGAGAAACATCCATCTATGATTCCCGTACCAACTATAGAATCTTTTTCTTCCATATTAATCCGTGTAGGGGAGGGCAATATTTTGAATGCGTCATCAACCATATCGAAATAAACAATCTTATTGCACCCAACATAATTGTCCCATAACCTATAGTCACCATTAGAATCATGGTAATCCCATCCCTGAGAAGTTTTTATGTCACTTACCATCGAGTGGAGTGTATTATTAAAGTTGACCCCATCTCGTGAAGTCATATAGTTATACGGAAAGGACACTTGTCGCCACCCTTTATTTTTCAGGCTTGAAACCAAAGCAAACTGACCATCACACTCTGGGTAGTGGTGACCAAGTAATAAGACAACATTATGATCTGACGTGGAGGGATCATAATAAATCCCTCCGACCACCTTATAGTGGATACCTCCGAGTCTGTGAAGCTCAAGAACTTTGGTAGACCAGCTCGTATGGGGTTCCACAAAAATATTTGTTCTCCAATGTGTAGAAGAACAAATCCACTCCAAGAACACAAAACCTTCAACGTATAATCATGAACAAAACAACGTCGTAAGCCTTCATCTTCGACGGGTTTGGTAAAAGGCAAATGGCCTGTAAACTCGAATAGTCTTGTCTTTCACTGCAAAGATCAAGGCTTATTGATCTAACTTTCCTAGGTTGTCCTTTCCCGTTTGAGATAATTACCCTAGATATGATTAAAACTCAATGAGTTTCCCAATCTATGACCTAACTAGTTTTCTTCCCAAAATAATTATAAAATTCATTATCTTCTAATTAAATTCGTAATTAATAAATATTAAATAATTTTGAGGGAACAAATATACCCTTTAGCTTATACCTATAAAACCCTAGTCTCCCACTCTTATTTTGCAACCCTATATAGCCACAACCTCCCAACGTCCTCCTGTGCAGAAGCCCCACCGTTCAACCACTGCCCGTCGTCTAGCCGCCGCCCGCTGTCCAGCGCCGCCGCCTTCACAGACCTGGAAGGCGCCGTCCAGCCACACGCCACATCTCCGCTCATACCCCTTCACAAAGTTTTCACACACTTTTGATGTCGTTGACTACTTAGGCAGTTAGGCCTTGAGCACCGTCTGGGAAAGAGGAGAAAGCGAGCTACCGATGTCCGATGGACCGCCGTCGAGAAGAATTTGTTAGTCACGAAAGAGAAATCCACGTCAAGTTTCCACTTTCTGGGAAAAAATTCGGTGCCCTAAAAGGCCCATGTGGATCCTCCTGCTAGTCATATGCCTTTTTTCCTAATTTTGTTTCAATTTTTCTTGTTTGGGGAAAGACGTTTAAACAGATAATTTTTGGGCGGAAAATTAAATCGAATGATGGCTATGGAATAATGGCTGTACAAACGGGGTTCAAGTCACCAGACTTCCTCTCTCCTTGCTTAATTTTTGCATTTTTGAAAATTAGGATTTGTAGGCATGAGAAATTAATTCAGACAATGAACATGGGAATAGATCGATGGTATTGTGGCATTAAATATGGACATTGAACATTAGCCGTGAATATGACAATAAGTGTTTAGTATATGTGCAGTGAATATATATGGTACTAGACATGTTGTACATGGCAGTGAATGAATGCATTAAGAATTTTTGTGTGTGCAGAGATATCATTATGAAATGCAATATATACTTATTACATCTAAAACAATAAAAAATAAAAATAAATTCCTCAAGTGAATGAGAAGAGAATTAATTTTGGCGGAAGTGCATTGATTATTATCCGATGTGCAGTAAAGTCATGCATTAATGTCGTGCAGTAACGACAATATATAATGCATTAATTTTAATTGGATGAAATTAGTGCAAAATGCACATTTTTTAAACAAGGTTATTCTAGTCATTAAACATTTTAATATGAACGATTTTTTTTTTGGGATTTTCGGTCATACAAAAGTCTAAACACTAAGTTAGTCATATTTAGAGAAACTCAACGAGTTTTAGTCATATCCTAATAAATTTCCCAAAGAAAAGGATATAGAAAGAAACAGTTTTATATGGGAGGGAGATTTTCTAGGCATTTTGGTGTGTTCCTCCGCTTCGTTTGCTGAATCAATAATGTCAAGGAGGCTGTTATCACATGACAGTCATGTTAACAATGTCTAGAATATTTTTTTACATGTCAGCATTACATTAGTCCAATGATATTGCGTTGGGGATGAAAATATCACAAGCAATGTCTAAGTTGGTGATTTGGCCGTTTTTATGAATGTCAACAATATACCATTGGTGATGTTCTAAGTCTGGTAGAGTATATGTCAGTCGTCATGTTCGATTTTTTGAAAATATTT